CATGACGCCACCTCCGAGATCGTGGCTAAATAAAATGGACTTGCTCACAACGCTAAGCTGAAAATCAAGGGTTGAGTTTCATCAAACATTTATCTAGTGCCCCCTAATGGCAATGTCCAGAGCTGAACGCTGAAGGAATGGAATAAAACAAATGAAATCAAATCAAAATGATCCTCTTTTAAATTAGCATAGACTTCAGAGAGAAAGGAGTAACATGCCACACATAAACATAATGCCAAATTCTAACTATGTGGGGAAAATCACAGAGCATGGAGCTCTCCCTGTGTAAAGACTCCCTTTGGGCTGGGAGAGATCTGCGGATTCCACACAGGCTGAATTTGAAGGGAGTCTGTGCTGGTCACCTGCCCGTGTTCTCACAGGTCGACTTCCCACCCACCCTTGCTCTGGYTATTTCAGTAAATGATATTTCCCAGGTTTCATTGACTGTTGGCTTTTGGCCAGGTGTGGGCAGTGAGGAGGATGGCCCAGGAAGAACCAGAGCAAGGACAAGCTGCCTTTGCCCTCTCCTCCCCTTGGCCAGCCATCACTGCCCTGCCCCCTGCTCTTGTCAGATGCATCTGCTGTGACTTTGGCTTCCATGGGTCAGTACTGGTTCCAAGACTCTCATCATGCCTGGTATTTCCAGACCAGGGAAATTAGAGATGTCCTCATTAGGCTAATCTCAGCATTGCCTTCTCTGCTCCTAACTGGCATCTCAGCTCTTCCATTATTCAAGTACCAAATTCCCTGTATTAAATCCCCTTTGTGTGAAATATCTAGGCAGGCTGTTTGCATGGCTAACCTCTGACTGACACAGGAGATAATTGGCTTCTGATGGGACACAGATTGGCCTGAAGAGCAATGCAGGGTAAGAGTCATCAGTCTGTGGGAAAGGAAAAAACTAAAGGCAACCATTAAAAAAAAAAAAAAAAAAAAAAGGAAATTCCCATGCATACTGAAGACACCACAACTTTCTGACTCCAGTACTGTTGGGGGAGTGCTGAGGAAGGTTTTGTGCCTGCACAAATGTTTTGACCTAAGGAACAGAGGGTCCCCAAAGAGTGACAGATCCAGTCCACTTCTTTGTTTTCCACTAACTTTGAATCATTTATTTAGAACTCTTGGGAATGACTCACCCACTCAAAACACCAGAATAGTAAGGGGTCTTATTCCTCCAAATTATACACACAGAGGCAGTGAATCTTCTGKGTTAAAGTGATTTGCTCAAGGTCACACAGCTGGTAGAGACAGAAGGGAACTATTCYAGGTCCAAAGCTGGTTTCTTTCTACCATCTGAGCCTCTAGCTCATCTTCCAAGTCTCAGTTCGTTACATGTAGTTTGGTCCTTCAGTAACTACAAGGTTGCGAATAAATCTGAATGGGTTTGCTCCCTGTTAATTTGTAACTTTGAATTGATAACAATGMTAATGTTATTTCTTTCAATGTAACCAGTGTGGAAGGATGCTGAAATAGAATAATGCAATGTAAYGAAGTGACAGGTATTGTACAGTCAACTGAAATATAGGTACAATTTAGATTGGAAAATATATTCTACTTTGTTAGTTTAAAAAAAATTAAAAAATAAAACCTTGAGCCTGTGGTGTTAACGATATTGTTTTGTAATTAGCTGTTATGAAATCTTGTAAATGCATCACTTTTGACTAAATACCGAGTTTTGGGGTAAAAATAAACATCTCGAGGCAAAGACTTTAGAGACATTATCTGTTTAATAAATATGATTGTAAAAGCAATAAACAAGAGCAATTATACATTACACTACATAGTATTTAACAAAAAAATACATCAAAAAAGTCATTTTAAAATTAGAAGTAGTTCCAATACTATAAGAAAACTTTCATTTTTTTTTTAAATTGGCTTCCTATAAAAATAAGTTGGCAAATGAGGGATTTCAATGCTCAGTTGGAATCCTGGAAAACACAGAACAGCTGCCAAGCACCCCATTGCTCTCAAAGTTGCTGTTTAGAACTTCTGAAAAAAAAGCAAAGCGAACCTCTGCATTTTGGATAGTGGATCCAATTAGGAATAAGGCAAGAGAGAAAATGTTGGTTGGGTAGTTCAGGGTAGAGCATGCACAGTTTGCCTTCTGGGGTTTTAGAAAATGTTGCAGTGTTGTATTTTTAGCTTGCCCTGAATCTCACCTTCCACACACATCCCTCCCCACACTCCTCTGGCCTTAGGCCCACCAAACTCCTCATTGTGTTTGCACCTGCTATTAGCGAGTAGGTAGGCACTTGGGTCCCTCCCATTTGTAGGCTGACATYATGGCCTTGTCTTTGGGCTTGAGCTGGAATGGCCTGTTCTGGTGGTTCTCCAACTTGAGCATGCATCATGATCACCTGGATGGCTTGTTGGACTGATAGGTGGGACTACTCCCATCCAGAGAGAGARAGCAACACTATTCATCCCCTAGAGTTTCTGACTCAGTAGCTCTGGGGTATAGACCCAGAATTTGCATTTTTAACAAGTTACAGGTGATGCTGATACTTCCAGCCTGAGTACCACACTTTGAAAACCAGGAGCCACAGTCAYAGGAACAATGAGGTCCCCTCTGAGCAGTACCTTGCCTCACTAATCACCTACAGGTGGGAGGGAGCTTTGAGGAGAGGCACATGAGGGCACTGGAGATGCTGAATCTATAGCTGGCCACCTTTGGTCACTCTCCAGAATGCCAAGCATCTCATGTCTGCCTCTATTTTAAATTAGGATTTAGAGCCCCTTCTTCCCTGTGTCTTTGCACTCATTTATTTCACCGACAAATAATTTTCACAATACTACTCTAGGCAAGGCACTGTGCGAGATTAAGAGTATATACCCCTTTTCACAATTTTCTAATTAAAATGAATTGAACTGCAACTCTGAGGACTCCCTGTGCTGGTGTGAGTGAGCCTCTTTTGGTTTCTAAACACTTGGTCTTCCAGATGAAATTTGGGAGGCTCCAACTGAAGAGAATCAATGAGGATGTTTTCTATGAGATAGGAAGCCTGGCAGATTGGGAATCAATCAAGTTTTACAAAAAGGTGGCCGCCCCAGGCACAGCCCATTGCCCAGATTCACGTGGGGCCTCCTCAACCCCTTTTACAMGGTTAACTTCTGGCAGCAGCTTTGCTACTCTCGCCCTGCCTAAGCTACATTAGGGCAGGAGTCATCGGGATCTTTAGGATATCCTCATCATCACAGGATCCTGTTATACCCTGTTGGTGGCTTGGGGACTCAGCCAAGAAGGACAGTAGGTTCTCTGGGTGGTTTATCATAATGGTTTCTCCCACCCTTCAAATGGGCTTTGTCCAGTTCAAGTACTGAGGGGGCTCCAGGAGTGGATGGACTTTTGTTCCCTTCTCTGGTCCTTCTTTCATGATCACCCTGGGAAAACTGGGGATATCTTCACGCTTTCAGGATTTAAGGACTGTGAGGATTTCTTTTGCTTTGTTGGAGGGCTAACTCCTCCCCTGTATACTGACTTATTTTTCCTTTACTGATACCGTGACACTCAAATGAGGAGAGAACACACGTGAAATCACCAGGATCACCCTAAGTAATCAAAATCTCATCCTAATGTAAGATAAGACCTAATTTTCTCAGACTTTTTGACATTCTCAAACATTAAGTCCATTAACCTGCTTCTCCTTCTGGTTAAATCAGTGTTTATTTCACAAGTATTTTTATTCTGTTGTGAGAAAGGAAGTATGTGGTAACAGCAACTATCACAGGAAGACATTACCCTGCAATATAGTCACATGTTCAAAACATTTCTCACAAGAATCTTCCAGAATCTGAACGCACGAGATGTTTGTTAATGTRCAAGAACACCACTACCCAGTTGTGCACTTTCTTTTCCAAAGAATATGGCCAGGTTTGACTGCTTTGCATATATCAACTCTTTCACATTACATGTTTCCAGGTGGGAAAAGGCAAGGATATTTGGAAAAGGCAGGTTCTAGAGGAAGAGACAAAGGGTACATGAAACTGAACCCTGCTGGGCAGGATGCAGCCGGAGCAGTGGGCACAGAAGCTGGCATGCTTGGGAGTGTACAAAAMAAACAGAGATCTGAGACTTGCAAGTGGTGGGGTCAGGGTTGGCAGAGCCTAGGCCAGTATTTAGGAGACATCAGGGGTGATGTCCAAAATCTAGCAACGTGTTTGTGAAGAAAAAGTAAGAACAGTTGAAGGATAACTTGGGGATTGAAAGGAAGGGATTCAAAGACATGGACGGATCATGGGTACACAGGGATGGCAAACGAATGGGAAGGCAAGACAGAGGATAACTACCAGAAAAAAAATTCCATCTTCTATTTCAGTTGGGACGGGAGTAGGGAAAGCTGCAAGGAGAAAAGCTGAACAAGAAACAAAGGTCCGTTTCTGGCGTGCTTTGCTTCCCTGCCCCTCTTTTTGTCCTAGTGTACCTGCACGCACAATCTTCAACTTGCATCTTTGTCCCTGTGGCCACAGAGAATAGAGAGAAAGCAGCCTTGTGGCCTCTGCTGACCAACAAAGCTACCACCGCTAACTTAGAAGGGGGAAACGACAGTAAGGACAGTGGGACAGAGAAACGGCTCAGGGTTTCCCTGTGCATGTCTTTGTGTCTTATGAAAAGGCCCGGGATGGCTAATCCACCCCTTGGCCAGGAGTGCTAAAATAGCTGTTAAATCTAGAGCCAAGAATATTTCCAAAAATACATGCACATTTCCTTGGCCTATATATGTTATGAATTTTCTACAAACACGACCGATCAGAAAAAAGAGAAAAGGGGAGGGGAGTGTTTTCCATTAAAATAGAGCACCTGTACACTGCCCCTCCAAACATGTCCTCAAGGTATTGTCCACATGCACAGGCTTAAAGCTAAAAACCCTTGTTGTCTGTGTCAGAAGAATTAAAAGTCCCGGTGCAGTGAGTGTTTGTATTTATTTGTTTGGATTTTGACTCTTTTTATTTTTATTTTTTTGATTTTTTTTTGTTTTTGTTTTTTTTGTTTTTGTTTTTTTACTGGCGTCCTCCATTCAAACATTTACATAGGTAGGGATTTCTTTTGTGCTTTGATTCTCAGCAACTATGGAAATACTTCCTGGCAAAAATAGGAAACAGAACAACAGAGGAAAGAAAAGAAACATAAAGTTAGTGGTCATGAAGGATGATGCGCTGGACAAGAGCGAAATTCTTTCCTGATCAGCAGGTCGCCTGTAGCCTTTGGGGTTTTTCCTTAAATTGCAAATTGTGCCCCAGCAGATCCCCGCTTTGGCGTTGAAGGTGGAGTGGCGTGTCTTGCTCTTTGCAATCGGAGAGATGAGTCACCAGGTTGAGTAGAAGGGGAGGGAGGGGAGGGTAAAGCTACTCTCCTAAGAGAAAACGTGTAACACTTACTCATTTAATGACACTGGAAATGGAAAAGTGTCAGAGAATTTGCAATGTGGTGTGAGATGTTCCTGGAGAAGGAGGAATTGCTACTTTAATAAAGTAAGCAGCCACTGTGCTCCATATATCCTGTGGAAATGATACTGAGAACCAAATGACCCCCAAAATGCAGCATCTTAGACGCTTTGTAAGTAAACAGACAGGGCGGGGTGGGGGGATATGAATTTATTAGCTTATGTCCCCCGCAAAAGAAAATGCATGGTGAAAACCCTGTACCAGATGTGGCTGCAGGTGTTATTACTACCTACAATAGGAGCCAGTCATTGTATTTAAATTCCCCTGAATGTCTCCACAGACCTGTCCCATATCCATGTAAAGAGAGGGTTCTGTTTCTGTTTACATGCTCATTTTTCCCCTAAAATAAAAGATTAAAAATCTTATGTAATAGCCTTCTAGACAGTTTGGCGTTATGACATTAGAGTGAAGTGCGAACACTTATGTAATAATTTATTCTTCGAGGTCAGTAATGCAGGATCTAGATGTGAACATTTAYAGCTTCAACTCCTGAGGCCAACAGACAGGAGGAACCCGGGAAAGAAATGGATCAGCAATGGTGGCTCCATGGATTTGTCTAACTTCCTGGAAACTTTYTTCTGCAATAAATAGTAGGACTCAGCAACTGAGCTTCAGACATGCTATACCTAGCTGCTTATCTCCCATGTTTATTTCACAGGTTGAGAGAGGTCACTGAAATGTGAAGTCCATTTTAAGGTATCTGGTATGGGACAGTTTGAAAAAGGGGGGGGGGCACTTGTTGATCTTCTCTGTAATAATCTAATCCTGTAACTGGGCTCTCTTAGGATCCTCACTCTCAAACTTGGTGTCTCTTGTTCTCAAGTTCTCAGGAACCAGTTTCTAGATAATTGCTACATTAYAAAAATCTCTGAATGGTCAGACTTGTCACTCTTATTATGCCCCTTCTTTGGTGGTGGTCTTTGCCCTCCACAGGGTTGTCTATAGTTGGGCTGCCATGTTTTTCTTTGGTCCACTACACCTCGACCCCAACCCCTTGCCAGCCCTCCAGTCCACCATCCCCAGCCTCTGAGGCCTCTCCTTCTTGTATATTGCTCATAAACATTTGAAGCCCAGTGTTTTAGAGAGGATTTTTGCAAAGGTGGAATTAATTAATGAGAAAGGGGAAAAAACTAAATAGAAGCAAGAAAGAGGCATCTTAGYTGTTTCTCTCAGAGGTGTTAGAACAGAAGGAAGTGGTTATGTGAAGCCAGAGAGCAGTTAGAGGGAGAGTCAGCCATTGGTTACAGAGGCTGAACAACTGATGGCTACTGGGAATCATTTACCTACGAGCTGGGATTCCACCTTCTCATCTCTAAGCTGGCCAGGCCTTCTTAGTTCAGTCTGAGGGATATTGGGCCTGCTTTCAGTGTGACTGACTGGACTGATCATCTCTTGTTCTTTTTCATTCTGCATCTGGGCATAAACATTAATCCCCGGGATCTTCCTAAAACATTAACAGAAACCATCACTGCTGTGCAAGGGAGAAGCACAACACTGCCATGTGTGCTTCGGAACCTGTCAGAAAGAGGGAGGGGGAAGAGGTAGGGGAGACGTGGATGGAGGGACACGCACCTTTTAAACTTGTAGATGACGAACACGGCCAGCCCCACAAACACCACCGAGAGCAGCATCAACATGGCGGATCCACTGTGGGTTGGAGTGAGGTCCACCAGTGGGGCTGGGGGAGGAAACAGGAAATCATCATAAGCAGAGACTCAGGCAGGTAAGACTCTATGAGAGACTCACACAGYTCACACACAGGCTTGTTGAGTCCAAGAAAGCCACATGGGATGAACATACAAAGTACAAATCACACAGCTGATACATGTATGCACCTGAGCCTGTCCTAGCCCCCAGATGCTCCAGTTGGCCTGTCCAAGTACTGGGGCAATGAAGAGCAAAGACCCTGGAGCCAGACTGTAAGGATTCCAGCCATGCTCCACGACCTGCTAGCTGTTGAATCTTGGGCAAGTTACTCCATCTTAATGTGTCTCTGTGGTTAGAGAAGATGGATGGTCTATTCTTCTGTGGTCACAAAGATTAAATGAGTTAATGTACCTTATTATTAAGAACTCTATAAGGTTTGCTTTTATTTCTACAGCTGCTACTATTATTATTAATCAATACATGTGCTCCTTGAGTTAATGTTGGGGTAATATCCTGATAAACTCATTGCTAATACCATTGAAAATACTCACAAGTCAAAATACATTTCATAACTTGAACCTACCAAACATCACAGCTTAGCCCAGCCTACCTTAAACTTGCACAAAACACTTACATTAGCTTACGGTAGGAAAAAAAAAATCATCTAACACAGATTCACCCCTGAGAGAAACAGCTAAGATGCCTCTTTCTTGCTTCTATTTAGTTTATTCCTCTCTCATTAATTAATTACCCCTTTGCAAAAACCCTCCCTAAAACACTGGGCTTCAAATGTTTATGAGCAATATTCAAGAAGGTGAGGCCTCAGAGGCTGGGGATGGTGGACTGGAGGGCTGGCAAGAGTTTGGGGAATAAGGTGTAGTGGACCAGATCAAAACATTCAACTATAGACAACCCTGTGGAGAGCAAATCTGTGCTAGACGATTTTATATAACTTACTAAATACTGTACTGAAAGTAAAAAMCTGAACACTGGTATGGGTAAACCTCTTAAGCCCAATCATTTTAAGTCAGGGACCATCCATATTTATAATAATATAAT